CAAGATTAAATTTATACCTAGAGTTTCAAATGGATAAGTGAGATTAATGATCGTATATTATCTATGCTTTTAGTTGTCTGCAATAAGCTAACACAGTTTCGTAAATAAAAAAATTAAGGGAATGAACAGGTACACTTCGCATCATCTGCATAGAGAGGCCACGATAGAAACCTTTTATACCCATTTCTTGAAACCTTTGGAGAACCAGCTGCTTTGCTGATAGTCGATCTTTTGCAAATGCTTCCTTTTGTATGAGACTCTTTATGCTAACAGATATTAGGATAAATTCTATTACACATCCATAGGGAATACCAATGCCCAAGATAGAGCACCAGCTGCACCTCCGCCTGCCAATGAAACCCATGGAAGGGGTACTCCATTGTTAGATGGGCCATAATACTTAAATAATTCATAAAGACCAAAGTATGATCCACAGCCAAGAAATTCTAAAGGTGCATGTATGCTATAGCCGGTATATAATCCTCTGAATCCCTTTTCTCGTACAATTCGTAAAAACCAGGAACCTAAGCTGTTTGCAGTAGGTTGATTGGCTCCACTTGTTGCATGCACTTGTTGAAGTTGTCGTTGAACCTAAGCAATTTAGATGTGAGACTTCTAACCTAACTAATTAGTGAAGTGAATAAGTAACCTTTATAAACTCAATAGGTGCAGCCAAAACCGATAATGTCACACCAGTAAAACCTCCTGCCAGAAAACAAGGAAACATTACACGACCTAGTACACCATTGGAATTGTTAAATTCGGGATGTACTAATACAGACTTGGATGATGTATAAAGATTCCAAGACATAGCACGTAAAGTGGTCGATGTTGCTAGTAAAGGAACAACACCACGATAAAATCCAGCTATACCTTCATAATAATATGTAGATTTTATGCAAGATATTGTGTTGGGATATTTAAATGCTTGCATTCTTGTTTTGATGGAATCAAACTAAAAAAAATTAATCTTGAGGCCATTACAGGATATCCAGCGAGTACTGAAAAGAATGCACTACTGGTTGCAGCAACAGTGATTGAGTTCTTATGTATGAAATTGATAGGAATTTCCGCTTCCATTATGAGGAATAAATAATTTAGACAAAAAAGAAAGTGGCATTAATGTAAGACAATGTGAACTCAACTATAATCCACTGAATTACTCTTCAGTAGCTAATTCTATTCGCATAATGAATGCTATTTGATGTGCAAAAGTTTATAAGCAGTTGTATTTTTAAGTATATATATTGCTAAAGAACTCACCAGTAATATTTAAGATGCAAGACACCAGCCTCAACAAAAACCAGTTCAGAACGCACTCCCTTTTAGCATGCTGTATCCTATTAAGGAATGCAATCATAGAGCATTCCAAACCACACGATCCCAAATAGAGAGTGGGTTGGGATTTCACAGTTTTTTGTTATTGTCACTCTAGTGGAGTTGCATTAATAATTAGAACATTGACAATTCCATGTAATTGATGTGGCGTAACTTTTGGAGACAGTTTTTGACAGAATACCACATGTCTGTTTTCCTATCTTTAATGTATCGAATTGATATCGATTTGAGTTTGAATAAGAAACTTATACTAGTTCAGATATCAATGAGGTGCAGTAAGATGAAATGTTTTTATTCGCGAAATCTGACTAGGGTTTCCAGGCAATGTTTTTCATGGCTTCCAAAGTGACAGCTCCAAATATTGCTTGTGTTAATTGTTGCTTAGGAGTGGTCCATCCTTCTTCCAATGGTAGTCGCTCCTCCTTTAAGAATGCCCGAAAATAGCTAATGGGAACTGGTAAGCTAGAATTACCCCCACTAAGAACATTATAAATAGCGGATATTTCACTGCATGCAATCTTGTTGCGGTTGGCATCAAAAGACAATTCAGGATTCAATAGTTTCATATCTGCATAACGTTGAATACGATACTCTGATAAATCTTTCACTGTTAAATGAACTCCATCTTTGGAATAAGAAATCAATTGATCAAACAGTGTATGATTGACGGAAAAGTTATCACCAAAAAATACATCATTACGAACCAACGAGACATCATGTTCAATCTTGTTGTGGGCACGGAGTTGAACCAAATCAAATCGATCTGGCTGGCCTTCTCCGATATCAGCCTCTGTTGCACCATTGAGTAAAAATGTAACTACATCTGGGGCCAGATTATAGTGCTCTTCGAATACAGCATGGATTTGTTCATAAGTCATAGTTGATCCATCTCTTGGTAAAAAGCCATAGTTTGACATTACATTGAATGCAGGACATGGACCTCGCTTGTCAGTTTCGCGGGGAAGTTGAAAGGTTCCAGTCGTGGCAACATTCTGGGGGAAGGCAGATACAATAACAGAGTTAAAAAATAGATTAACCAATAACATTAGATTTGAAAGAATGAAGAGACTACAGTTTCTATTTATACTGGTATTATAGCAATTATAATTCCACCAGTTTTGATTCAGCCAAACATGACCGTGTGTGATTCGGCCGTGATGAATAAACTAACTGTATCTCAGTCACATACATCTAAGCAGAAGACTGATCAAACTTAGTGATTCAGGTTATTTAAATTGTTCGCAAAATAATCATTCTATCAAATAATGCCAAGTTTACAATCCATATACCATTCATTATATAGAATTTTCCAACTTTTCCAATTTTATCTTATAGATTAAATTCAACCCCAAATTTATCTAAAGCAGCAGATGGTGTCGTGAAACATGATAAGTAGCAACAATACTACAAAGCATTACTTATTGTGGGTTGATAGAACGAACTACATGGATAAGAAAGCGTGGAAATTCTTCATGAAGAATGCAGTTTCCAGAACTGATCTTAAAAAACTCTTATATCGAACGAGGTAAAAGGCAATAATGATATAAGAGGTACGTAAAGGAAACGATTTATTAGAAATAATTAACAATAACTGCCAAAGCTGTGACATGGTTTTGGTTGACATGGAGCAGGAGTGCATACAATCTTTTGAGTGACACAGGTAGTGACAACACCACAGTCAACTGGGACAACAGTGACACATTTCTTTTGAACTGGTTTACAGTGTTTGACTGGTTTGCAGTGGGATTGTTGGTGGCAGTTGGTCATTTTTAATTAATGAGTTGGTCATGGAAGATCTGTCACCATTTATACTTTTATTCGAAACAAATTGGTAGTTGCCTCTTGAGGGTTTTGTAATTTACTCAAACACAATGAAACGTTAGATAGTGAAGCCATGGTTTCAACCCTAGAAGGCTTTGTGAAAGAACCACTTGTGCATGAAATGGTAGGTTTGATAGCTAAAGAAAGAGCCATTTTGATTGCGATCAATTTTCAGTTCATATAACAAACAGATTAGTAATTAATAAGCATTTCAGATTATTTATCAGATTCTGTAATGAAATGGAAGTGAATGAGCCGTTTTAGGAGAGTGAAGAGAGGAAAAAGAAAAAGAAAAAATGAGGCGGACGCGATTCGAACGCGCAACCTTCGGCTTTGGAGACCGATGCACTACCGTTGTGCTACCACCC